TCTTTTTACTCTGTTGGTGATTTCTTTTGCTGTGCAAAAGCTTTTTAATAAGTTGAGGTATCTGTTTTCTATTCTTTGTGGTATTTCCCATGCAGTCTGGGTTTTGTTCATGAAATTTTTGCCAACACTTATGTCTTCAAGCATTCTGCCTATTTTCTCTTCAAGCAGGTTAAGTGCTTTTGCTTTAATATTTCAATCTTTGCTCCATTTTGATTTTATTTTAGTACATTCTGAAATATGAGTTTAGTTTTAATCTTCTGCATGTAGAAAGAACCATTTATTAAAGAGGCTATCCTTCCTCCAGTGAATGTGTTTGTCCCCTTGGTCAAAGGTAAGGTAGCTGAGTGTGTTTGGGGTTGTTTCTGCATCTTCTAATCTGTTCCAATAATCCTCAGTTCTGTTTTTTCACTAGTATCATGCTGTGTTTATCACCATAGCTCTATAAGTAATTTCAAGTCAGGGATTTTGATGCCCCTGCCTTGCTTTTGTTGCCCCAAAATGTTTTTACTGTTCTAGGTCTCTTCTCACTCCAAATGAATTTTAGGAATGCTTAACTTTACATAATAAAGCTAAATTGCTTTCCAAATCATCATGAAAATAGTAATGATAGTAAATACAAACAGATTAAAGTGAATTATCAAAAGAAAATATCTCAAATTAGAGAGAAACCAAGCAAATATAGGTAAGTAAAGGAAAAAAAAAGAATAAAGGAATGATAAAAACATAGAAATCAATTAAGCAAAACAACAAAATATTAAGAAAAGTGAAATTTAATGAGTTGAGTGAATACATGAGAGATGTCTGGAGGAGCTCCCACATCTGTATGTAGGAGACAAGCATGAGGTGCCTTATAGCACCTCACACGCTGTCACAGGCTAGAGGCAGCAGAGGGGTACCCATCGCCTATGGAGTAGAGGGACAAAATGCACACCATATGAGTAATGGAGTGTGATAGGCAGAGGCAAAATGGAACACAGAGAATTTCCTTAAGTGAAAAAGGATTATCTAGCACAAACTTTCATCAAATATCCTATTTAATGGAGACACTCTGGATGCTTTCATTTTGGGATCAGGAGCAAGCCCCTTCATCACAGCTTCTGCTTGACCCAGTACTAAAGCCTTGGTCAACATTGAAAGATAAGAAACAGAAGTTTAGAGATGGGAAGGAAAGAGGGAAAACTCTAATTGTAAGTAGTATTATCTATTAAAAATAAAAACAGAATCAAACAACTAACCTTAGGAAATAGCAAGGGTTTAATAAGGTCGGCAAAATAAAGCCAATTTACATTCTTCTATATGACCAATTACCCAGGAGAAATATAATTGAAGATAATAGAACAATAAGATTGACAAAGGAAGTCCTATTTGGGGAAAATTCTATGATGCTTCTAAAGGGCACCACAGATAGGATAGCTTAATGCTTCTAAAGGTTCTACCCTCTCCCAATAGCACACAGCCTGATTGCCAAGACTTCAGGACAGTCTTGGGGCATATTTAAGATTCCAACCATAACATTATCACCAGTTGAGCATCCCTTACCTGAAATGCTTGGGGACAGAGTTCCAGATCTCTGTTGTTTTTTTGTTTTTTGTTTGTTTGCTTTGGTAGTGCTGAAGATTAAATCTAGGGTCTCACACATGATAGGCAAGTGCTCTACCACTAAGCTCTATCACCAGTCCTTTTGATTTTATTCTGAGATAGGCTGGCCTTGAACTTCCAATCCTCCTGCCTTAGCCTCCCACATAGCTGATATTATAGGTGTGCACCACCATGCCTGGATTGATTTATTGTAAAATGGGCCATTATGGTGATATTCCGTATATATCTCCTTTTAAATCTCAGTTTAAAAAACAAGTGTTGTTTAAATATACATTTTAAGGTTGATGTTTGTTAGACCTGTGCTTTCTGTGGATCTGAGAAGTGACTGTGATCATTTAATACACATTAGGAAGACAACAGGCCAGAGCTGAATTCAGTGGAGCTGTATTCGGTGGAGAGAAAGGGGAAAGAAAGCATTTCCTAATGAGTCAAACAATTTCTAATATGCTGCCAGGGCAACTGTAAGGTGTTTCAGAGGCATTTATGATCTCTCTTTCCATCCCTAAAATAATAGAAAAAAAGGAATGAGAACCTCCAAAATTTACCTTGGAATCATGCCTTGAGGGAGGGCTCAGAAACGAAGCATGAGTTTTAATATTCAACAGTCAAAAAGTTTCAAAAATTCGCTAGGGATTTTTTTTCATGAAATGGATAGAATTCTCAAAGCTCTGAATCTGTGCAAAATACGAGAGCTTGGGGCAGGAAACATAAAAAATAAGAGAGTAACTAAACCTTTTTCCAATGAAAAAAGGAAGAATGAATGGAAAACAGGTCCTTTTGAAATAAGTCATTAATGACAACCAATGGATACTTCAATTAATTAAGGGATTGACAATTATCAAGAATGTTGATTTTCTTTACTTCCTATCTAATTACATTTTTAAACCATTGTGCCCAGTAATGTTGCTCATGCTTAGAGCTTTGACTCCGGGCTCTCATACAGCCAGCGTGACTCCTCTGGATCACATACAAAGGCACAGTAGATTCTGGTCAGATTCTCGTTTCTACAGGCAGATATTCCCGGCACTGAGCTGATAAATGCTAGCAAACACATGATTGTCATAACCACTCAAGACTCTGCAAACAAAAAGGGCATCCAGGAAGCTATCATAATTGTATATGTCTAGCCCTCAAATATTTGACTAATGTACACTAGGAACCGTACAAATAAACACAGTCCCAGATTGTCATCTCCAGCTAGACCCAGAACCCTTCCATTGCCAGTTAGTCACTCACAGTTGCCAGAGTCTGTGCCAGGTCCACACCCTGGGCAGCCACTTGTGATGGGATCAGAATCACAAGGAATACCAAGAGAAAGGTTGAGTTAGTGGACATTGTTTCTTGGTTTTTGTTATTTAAATAATGACCAGAAAAGCAATCCACATCCAGGGATAATGAGTCAATCGTAAAAACTGCTTCAGTGACATATGGAATATTCCCGTGCAACATCTTTCCAAACTCTAGATCTCTCATCTTCTGGAATGACAAAGTTAAGGGGATTTGAATGGGAGCGTTTGTGGGCTGCATCTCAACTGTGGCTGATTCAAAAATTATGAAGTGCTCCCTACCCACGTCACTCTATGAAATAATAGAGAATGAAATCATCCTCTCATTTTTGATAAAGGAATGCTAGCGGAAGGATTAAAGAGTTCCTTTTAGTGACAAAGTAAAGGCAACAAGAACCTGCATGCTTTATCTCCAGACTCTCTGATCAGAAACACAGGGTGCTCATTTGAAGCACTTCTCAGTTTCATTCAGAACAGAAGGAATGGCTGAAAAATTCAGAAACACGTTAGCTCTGCTCAGTCAAGGAATTCCCGTTTTAAAATTATACTTCAGATTATTCAGAGCTGCCCAACTCCGTGTGGCAACAAAGAAATTTCTTAAATGGTCAGCATAAATATAGCACATTGTGTAACTTCCCCTCCACCAAACCACAAACAATTACAGCGTAAATAGTCACATTCTTAAGGAGGAGCAACTAAAACATTACATTCATAGTTCAGATTACCGAAAAAGGGCCCAGTTTTTAAAATGTAGCTTTATGCGTTATCTGATGTAGAATATCTCTTTCTGTAAGCTACAAAAATGCTAAATATCATTTATTTAGTGCTTACTATACACAAGACATTGTACTGCCTTACCTGGGTTATTTTGCATATTCTTCACAACATTTTATGAAAAGGATATTATTGCTATTATCCCTTTTTACTAGGTGAGGAAAATAAGACTGAGTCAGCTGCATGGCAAACCTGTCAATAAACCAATTTTCAAAAGCCAGATCTGATTCCAGAATCAATGCTGCTATTTATTTTCTTTTTTAGCAAATCACCTTTCCCCATAACTATGGATACTTCCAAAAGATGAGGCTTGGCGGCCTTTGCTCTTTCCAAGTTTTTCTCTTATTTTAACTATTGCCTTGAAAACCACTCATCCCAAAGTGAGTATCTTAGAATCAGGACATTTCCTACCTGTCGGACTTCACAGACGCCCACTGTTTCTGTGTAGATCCCTGTCTTCTAACCAGGCTCTCTATCTGAATGTCACTCTCATCTCATAATAAGTAGGTATTTGGTTTCACTAAGCGTTTCATTTCTTTTGCCCTCAGTCCTTTTTTAAGCCCTGGAAATAACTACCTTTAAAGGATCCCTACTGTCTAAACTTCACTGTATTAGCCCCAAAAGGCTCCTCTGCCATTCCCTTATGTCTGCCTGTGGACATTTGTTCAGAGACCAGAAGGAAACAAGGAAATGAGTTACACAGACCACTAAGGAATGGTCAGTCAAACAGAGGAAACATAAACATGAAGTCGGGCCCCAGCCTGAAATGTCCCAGAAACCCAAAGAAGGCCTTAAAATCACAGCAGAGTGGGTAAGGAAAGGAGCAACTCAAGATGAGGTCACAGCAGGGCCATCAACACAGACCTGGGGTCCCAGGAGCTCCATGTTTACAAGGGGCCTGTACTTTCTGTAACGCTCAGTCACTGGCACCCAGAAATACATTGGGGGTAATGAGGGACTCAGGTTTTCATTTGCACTGTGCATTGCAAAGTACGGTAGTTTCCTTTTATCTGTGGCTTTGTATTCCTCAGATTCCCTTACCCCTTGTCAACAGTGCCTGGAGATATTAAATGGAAAATTATAGAAATAAACAATTCATAAATTTTCAGTTGTATACCATTGTGAGTAGCGTGGCAAAATGTCTCAATGTCCTAATCTGTCTGTCCAGGATGTGAATCAACACTTCGTGCACACTTTCCACACATCAATCACTCAGCATTCGTCTCGGTTACCAAGTCAATTCTTGCAGCATCACAGTACTTTTGTTCAAATCACTCGCACTGCACTTTATTAGTAAAGGTCCCAAAGCATAAGAATAGTTATGCTGGCAACCAAGATACCCTAAAGAAAAGTAAACTGTGCTGTTTAAATTATAATCAGTGGTAAGTACATAGGTATAATAAAAAACACATTGCGATCTGTGGCCTTAGACACCCACTGGGTGTCTCGGGATGTCTCTCATGGATGGGGGCGGTCACTGCGGATGTAGTCAGAGAACTAATAAGGAGTCCATTGCTGTAGAGTTTTTTAGTCACTGACCATTGCAAGGGTCTTGATTTAATTCTGAATTAGATGAGAAGCCACTGAAAGTTTTTAACAGTGGAATAGCAAGCTATGATTTTTTTTTCTTTAAATCTCTCTGCTTTCTTCTGTTAGGCTGGATCTAAGAAAATGGGGGTGGAAACTTGGAGACCAGCAACAATATGGGTGGTTTTATCCATGATGGCTGTAGAAGCAAAGAGAGATATGGTCACATTGCGGGCATATTTTGAAGGTAAAGCCAAAAACATATGCTAATGCATAGGAGATAGGGTGTGAAAGAAAGAAAAGACGACCAAGTTTTATGCCTGAGCATTTGGAAGAGGGGAAGAAGACTTCAGGAGACACAGTATATAGGCTTTGGAGTTTGGTTGTGGACATGCTAAGTTTGAGATGTTCAGTAGATATTCATGTGGAGGTGTTAAATAGGCAGGTGGATATGCAAGTCCATAGGTGGAGAAAAAGGTTCAGACTAAAAGTGTAAATATTTATAGGGGGAGGAGGTGAAGAGGAACCAGAAAAAGAGAATGAATATCCAGCATAACAAAAAGAGAACCCAAGAAGAAGTAGTATCCTAACGTTAAGAGAAGACAGAAGGGCTGCACTCAGGAGGCTGGGGCAGGAGGATCACTGTGAGATCGAGACCAGCCTGGGCTACATGGTGAGCTCCAGGTCAATCTCATAGTGAGACCCTATCTCAAAAAACAAAAAACAAAAAAAAAAAAAGAGAGAGAGAGAGAAGACAGAAGAAGGGAGCTTCATTTGTGTCCATTGGCCTATATCAGTACTGCTGATCAGTCAATACAAGTGCAGTTGGGGAATTGCCCAACTATTGGGCTTGGCAAGATGGTGACTTTCTCAAAGGTTTTGCCAAAGTACTGGAACCTTTCTCCATATCATTGAAATGTGAAACTTCAAGTGTGTGAGCTCCCATTTACCCTCATTCCAACATGCAGATATTAGCATAAATCATTATCTGATCATGTCCATCTTCTTTAATTGTTTCATTTAACATATCTAGCTTTTACCAGTACTGTAACCTGGCTGAGGTTCCTGTTACCTCAGCACTGAGAACAAGCTATCTCCTGTCTTGTTCCCGCTAGTGACCCATCCTGATCTGTCATCCAGAAACAAATCTTTACTCAACAGTTTCCTAGGTTCTTTGGCTTTTATCAAAACACACAAAAAAGAGGCTGGTCATACCTGCTTCCCCACACCAGCACAAACATGCCCTGCCGATATATGACATACCTCTATGTACCTGACAACCACAAAGCTTGGCTTAAACATCACAGAAAGGAGCCCATGAGGAGACCCCCCAGTGCGAATGATTCCATGAGGTCTCCTCAGTTCCTCATAATTTGATGGGCTGATTCAGTCTCTTTCAATCTAAAGCGAGTACGAGAGATAGAAAAATAACACTGATTAAGTTGGGCAAAGGACTGAATATAACTTCACATACCTAGAAGAATGGTTAAAGTTAAACTTATTTTTAAAAACTGGCAGTAACAAATACTGGCAAGGACACAGAACAACTGGGACTGTCATTTACTGCTGATGGGAATGCAAAATGTTTCAGCCACTTTGGAAAATGGTGCCGTGGTTTCTTACAAAATTAAACAACTACTTAACATATGACCCAGTGGGCCCATTTCTAAATGTTTACTCCAAAATGACTAAAATGTATGTACATGTTCTTGCGTGTACACGCACATGTGTGTGCATGTGCACACACATACACACAAATCTGTAAGTAGGTGGTGGCTTTATTCATAATATTCCCAAAGTGAAAACAACCCCAATGACTGTCCAATGGTAAAATGATAAATTTTTGTATGCGTATAAAATGGAATCCTAATCTAAATTTTAAAAAGAACAAATTTTTAATGCATGCAACAATGTGGCTGAACCTCAAAAGCAATTTATTTTAAGTGAAAGAAAAAGCTATTGCTTACCAGAGGCTGGAGGAGGGAAGAGGATGTGACTAAAAAAGGGGTGAGGGAACTTTGGGCAATGATGGAAAACACAATGCAATTTGATTATGGTAATGGCTGCATGAGTGAACAGGTTGTCAAAGCTACAGAAATGTACATCTGAATTGTACACTTCAAATGTAGTGCATGTAAATGATACTTTGATATACTTGATTTAAGAAAGAAAATTCCATGAGGGCAAGCACTTTGCTTTATGCACTGCTTTATCCCAGCATGCGAAATAGTAAGCAGCATATAAAAAGCATGTATTTTTCTTTTGTTTTGTTTTTTGTGGCAGGGTCTTTCTATGTAGCCCAGACTGACCTCAAACTCACAGTGATCCCCCTGCCTCAGCCTCCTGAGTGCTAGGATGACAGGTGTGCACCACCATGTCTGGCAATGAGTATGAACTGAGAGGAAAAGAGAAGGAAGGGAGAAGAGAGGAAAGAGAGAAGAAGGGATGGAGTGAAAGAGGGAAGGAAAAAGAAACAGAGAGGAGAAGAGGAAGAGCTAATTCTGGATTTTAGTCTGAACATTCTTTATATTACCTAATACATAAATTCTAGAATTGTACAGTATGTAGTCCATCCTATATGTAACTCCAGAATTTATATATTAAACATTTGACTTCAAATTTACTGAATATTTTATTTCCAATTTTTAAGCAGAGAGTAAATGTTATGTCTTGAAGTTCATGCATGATGTAGTCTTTTTTGCAATTTCTAAAATCCAAATAAAGATTATCAAGATGATATGCATCTCTTTTTGAGCTAACATAGATGCAGAACAAAAGGAGAAAACATGACATACAATACATTTTCTAATGGACTGGGAATCCACAAGAACATGGGGCAAGTTTACTTTTGCATATTATGAGAAATTTCTACTGAAATTGCTTAAGCTGGGGATTCAAAGCCAGTTATTCAAAGGTCTGTCTCTCAACACAGAATCATCAAAATCAACCCTTGTGAGTTCCAGTAGCGAGAATTAAAATCTTAAAGAGAATTCCCTTTGAAGAACCAGTGTACATTGTGCGGAACCTCTGCTGTATTAAGCCAAAGTGCAAAAGTAGGCTCTGTGTTGTCCGAGGCGCAGTGTAGGCTGGGTGCCTCACTTAGTAGTAGCAAGCTTCAAAAACAACTGCAGCCAAGCACAACTGAGATAACAACAAAAACAGCACACGAAAGAAAGCCAGCGGCTTAGCACCCAAATACCAACAAACAGTACTAATATAGGACCCTTCCAAGGTCTGGGAGGTTACGTCATTGTAGATTAAATATTTGATGCAAATGGAGTTCCTTTTTGTGATTCACTTGTCTTCCATATGCTTGGGCCTTTTGGAATTTCTAAAGGCCCAACTTTAGAATCACTTATGATTACCAGCTTCGGTCTTTCAATGTCAACTATAGATTGTCACTGTGAAGCTTAGTGACCTACATCCTCTGGGAGTTACTGATCTACCTCCTAAACCTTTCCTCTGATGTCTGGGTGTAAACAGCAACCCTACCTTTCTGAGAATGGCAGCAAGAAATACTACATGTATACAATTCCTGATGAATGAATCCTACAAGATGAAGGAAATGACTTTTCAGAACAACAAAAAATGCCCCCCCAAAAAAGTAAATATTAGAAAATACTCAACTTTGCTTGAAAGTTGAGTGGATTTTCGTTGAACCAGAAATCTTTGTTAGTGAGGCAAGAATCTACTAGTAGTGCGGTTGAGGAAACCACAGAAAGGACATTTTTTATGTTGTCGTTGGGAATATCAACTGTTACAATAGCTTTGGATGGTGGGGGACTTAGCTCAGTGGTTCTGCCACCTGCCTTGCAAGCGCAAGGTCCTGAGTTTGATCCCGGTACCAAATTAAAAAAAAAAAAGCTTTGGAAATATTTATGAGACTTGTATAAAAATGTGACAAGTAACGAGTAGGAACCACTGGATTACTTCTTTGGCAAAAAATGGGACACAACCAAAATGTTCATCATAAGGGAAGTGGGTAAATCCATGAGGGTCATTTATAAAATCACAATATATAACCTGTAAAAATGATACTTATGAAAAATTTTACTAAAAAAGAAAATGCTAAATTATAATACTAAGCCAGAATAACACAAAATTCAAAATAGAGCACTCAGTGTATTTTAACTATGTAAAAATGTAAACAATTCAAATAAAAAGGATTAGAAAGAAATTGCCAAAGTTTTTAATAATAGTTCTTTATAAGTGCTATGATTAAACTTACTGACTTTCTGGTTTTTTTTAACAATTCACTGTAGTTTCTAAGATTGCTAAATGAGAATGAACTGAAAACAATTATCAAAAAACAAGTTTAAAAATTATTAAGCCTGGGGTGGTGTTGCGCACTTATAATTCCAGGACTCTGGGAGGCAGGAAGATAGCAAGCACCAACTCAGTCCAGGCAACTTGAGAGATCTTGTCTCGAAAAAAAATTTTTTTTTTAAAAAAGGGATGGGGATATAGCTCAGCATAAAAACCCTGGGTTCAAATCCCAGGACAGCCAAAAACAGGATAGAGAGAGCTATTGATATCAAAAGAATCTAGACAGAAAAGAGTACATGCACTACAATTCCTTAAGGTGCAAAAACAAGCAAAGCCCATCTGTGTTTTAGAAGTGAGCACAGGGCTTCTCTTGTGCTGGAGGCAGAGAATAACTGGCATCTCTAGGGGAGTTTGAGGATGCTGGGTACTTAGGTACATTCACTCGCAAAAAAAAAAAAAAAAAAACCAAACTACATTCACTTACAACATGAGCATATTTCTGTATTTTATAATTGCCTAGAAGTTATTCTAAGGAAAAGCATTATAGTTATTTCTCCAGAAAGAAGGATAATTGGATATTTTAAGGGTTCTAGAAATCTTCATAAAACTATGCCCAAACATAGCATCCCCCAGTGAATCTATTTTCTTGGCAGAGAACTTAATTCACCCACTATAACAAGCCACAATTAAAAAAAAAAAGCTCAAGACAATAGTAACTGGCCCTCCAGAATCTCAAGATCATACTGAACACCTCTGAAAGAATCATCAGGCTGGCAATAAAATGACTGGGGAGTACAAATGCACCATAATAGGAATAAGCTATAAACATGACTCATCTAGGTGTTTCCAGGGCTGCAAACGGCAGTGCCACTTCCTTCTGTTGAGGTGAGGACATCTTTCATAACCCTTTCTTGCAAATAGGTGGAGAGAGAAAATGAGAGCTGTCAGCAGAAAAAGAAGAGTTTGAGTTCTGGTACTTGCTGGACTTTGTCTACCTCAAGGCCATTCGTGAATGTCAGGGGCAAGGGCAAGGGACATTCTGAGGTAGAAGAACAGCCACCCCAGGAAGAGGCGGGCAGAGAAAACCCTGGCAGAGAAAGCAAACTGCAAAGCTGAGAAATAAAAACATGTTTGACAATGAAAAGCTTTTTCAATCATTAATAAATTTTTTGGTTGGCACAATAATTGCACATATTTATGAGATGCAACATGATGTTGTTTTGATTCATGTATATATAGGGTAATGATCAACTCAATAATTAGCATATCCATCTTTAGGAAAAAGTTGTTAAAATTAGTAAGAAATGTAACAGATGAAACATGGAACAGAAAAATATTCACCAAAAGTGAGAAGGAAAAAACAAACGCTTGAATTTCTTTTACTTACCTGTCTTTACCATCAAGAAACACACTGTCTACCTAAGAAGTCCCAAGATACAAATCTTTGCTTTTTCCATCTTGAAGCAATCATTCATCTGCTAAGCACAGCTGGCCATTTTTCTGTTCCCACATCCAAAACTGCCTTTGATAGAAAGCCAACCAGAAACTTAGTCATAAAGCTGAGAAGTGATTGAAACTTTAAGAAACAAACTTTCTTTGAGCAGTCACAGCCTAGGGGATTTTCCGGAGGAAATGTAGCAGGAAATGTGCAAGAGTAGAAAGAGTCCTGGACACATCTGGTCAAGGGTCCCGGCTGCAGAATGAGTCAGTCATGTCACCTGACTCGGGGCTTTGGGATCTGCCCCTCTGGGACCACAACAATGCCTATAGAATGACAGTCAACATTGGTGCTATGAATCCAACTGTATCTTACAAGGACTTCCTACTGTTCCAGGAGTCAGTATGGAGAAATAGCTTGCGTGTTCAAGCCAGTTGCAATGAGAAGGATTAGAAAGAAGTATTGGGTAGAGTTTTTGGATCATAGTGCCAAGCTGGATGCTTCCAATTTCAAATCAGGCTGTGACAGGTATCATTCCCTCCATGTAGGTGCATCTGCCTCATGAGCAAAAATGAAAGCCATGCAGCAACTTACTTCTTTAACCATGTGCACAAAACAGAAAAAGGATGAAATAACCTTCCTCAATAGCCCACAGTACTTAACTCATCTTCCTTTATGAAGATTTGTTTTTGTAACC